AAAGCTGTCGAAAAGACTCCATATGAATTATGGGCTAAGAAACCTCCAAGGTTGTCTTTTCTTAAGATTTGGGGTTGCGAACCATATGTCAAGCGATTAATTTCTGACAAACTTCACCCAAAATCGGACAAGTGTTTCTTTGTGGGCTACCCAAAAGAAACCAAAGGGTATTACTTCTACAATAAATCCGAGAACAAAGTGTTTGTTGCTCGTGATGGTGTCTTTTTGGAGAAGGAACATCTTTCCAAAATGACAAGTGGGAGGAAAATCGAACTCGACGAAGTTCGAGAGGACGAGCAACAATGTCAACCTGATAAAACTGACAATCAAAATGCTTTAGAAGCAGTTGATAAGATTGGTCAGAATCAAACAGACAATGTTAATGCTCAACCTATTACCCTTCGTAGGTCGCAACGGCCAAGATCTCAACCAGACAGATACCTTGGTATTGTCTTAACCGAAGATCAGGACATCCTAGTCATGGATGGAGATGAGCCAGCGACATGCAAACAAGCTATGACGAGCCCCGACTCTGCTAAATGGCAAGAAGCCATGAAATCTGAGATGGACTCCATGTCTGAAAATCAAGTTTGAGACTTGGTAAATTTGCCCGAAGGTTACATACCCATCGGTTGCAAATGGATTTTCAAATTGAAAACAGACAAAGATGGAAATGTATCAGTATACAAAGCTAGACTGGTGGCAAAAGGTTACAGGCAAATCCACGGGATTGATTATGATGAAACCTTTTTGCCATTTGCAATGCTTAAGTCCGTCCGGATCATCCTAGCGATTGCTGCATATTACGATTATGAAATATGGCAAATGGACGTCAAAACCGCCTTCCTTAATGGGATTTTGGAAGAAACTGTGTATATGACACAGCCGGAAGGTTTTGTTGATCCAAGCAACGCTGGAAAGGTATGCAAGCTTAAGAAGTCCATTAATGGACTAAAGTAGGCAAGCAGAAGTTGGAATCTGCGATTTGATGAAGCCATCAGTAAATTTGGTTTTATCAAGAATCCAGATGAGTCTTTTGTGTACAAGAAGGTCAGTGGGAGTGACATCACATTCCTAGTCCTATATGTCAATGACATATTGCTCATTGGAAACAGCACAAAATTATTAGAGTCCGTAAAAGGCTGGCTGGGAAAGTGCTTTTCAATGAAGGACTTAGGAGAGGCACAGTACATATTGGGCATCAAGATCTATAGGGATAGATCTAAGAGGATGATTGGATTGAGCCAGAGTACTTGCATTGATAAAGTACTGGCACGATTCAGCATGGAGAATGCCAAGAGAGGGCAACTACCCATGTCCCATGGCGTAACTCTCAGCAAGAAATAGTGTCCACAGACACCTGTTGAGAGAGAGAGAATGAATCAGATTCCATATGCTTCGCTTATTGGATCGATCATGTATGCCATGATATGTACTAGGCCTGATGTATCGTACGCCTTAAGTGCTACGAGCCGATACTAATCAGGCCCAGGAGAGGCGCATTGGACTGCGGCCAAAAACATCCTAAAGTACCTGAAAAGGAACAAGGATAAATTCCTGGTCTATGGTGGCCACCCACAAAGATTTGGTTGTTGAAGGTTACACAGACGCTAGCTTCCAGACTGACAGAGACGACTTCAAGTCACAGTCATGGTATATATTTTGCCTAAATGGAGGAGCGTTTAGTTGGAAGAGTGCCAAGCAAAGCACCACTGCAGATTCTACAACTGAAGCCGAATACTTGGCAGCTTTAGAAGCAGCTAAGAAGGCAGTTTGGATTCGTAAGTTCGTCAGTGAACTTAGTGTTGTACCCTCCATCAAGGGTCCAATAGATCTCTATTGTGATAACAATGGAGCTATTGCTCAAGCCAGAGAGCCAAGAGAGCACTAGAAGGTCAAACATGTCCAAAGGCGATTTTACATGATAAGGGAATGGAAATCAGATGGTGAAATCAGAATTTGTAAGATCGGTATGGATGACAATGTGGCCGATCCTTTGACTAAACCTCTGCCTCAAGTGAAGCACAACAAGCACGTCAAGGCAATGGGAATCAAGCACGTTGGAGATTGGCTTTGAATTCCCTGTAGATGTGTTTTAATTAAACTAAATGTTTTAATGTAAAACGCTATGTAGAAACCATTCATTTATGGAGTAATTAATTTTTCATGCAAAATTACTATTCACTCCATTGCTATTTAATTGTGGTTTAGAATTAAATAATGAGTCCATTCGATTTTTGAGAATATTCAAAACAGGGTATCAAGACCATGTCTTGGATAAAGAAACACCTGTTAAGTGAACATTGAATATTTAAATCGAAAATTATCCCTAATCGAGGTCATTTAACTGATGAACGATTAATGACCACTGGAGATTAGTGTGTAGTATGATTTACAGCACCGTTTCTTGTGCTGTAAGGACATAGTAGTCATAAATCATTTGCACAAGTGCTAGTTTGGAACTGCACCGGATTGACCTATGAGAGTACTTTAAGATATTTAAAAACGTCATAAGTACATTTCTCATTATAGCTATCGGAACTTGTTTCCTCAACCATGAGTACTGGGAAGTTCTCTTATTTGAGTACTAGTCTCTTTGATGTTGTCAAACGTCCGCCGTAACTGGGGATTATAACAGGAACACTCGGCAGTACAAGACTGGGAATGTCCCCCCTATTAACAATAGAGAATATGTCTTTGTTGTTTACAAGGCCGCTCGAAGAGTGAGACTGTGAAAATGCATGGCCGTACTCAGATAGATTTTAGAAATCATCTGCAAATTGACAGTCGATCTCGGAGATCGAGAAACACTTCTGGACGTAATAAGGATGACGAAGATTCTTACCTTATAGTTCTTGAAGAGACATTAAGCGACATAGGAAATGGGCTATACACTATATGCACACTTGTCCGGAAGGACAAGTGGGAGATTGAAAGGAATGGTGTCCTTCCAACAAGTGTATTATTCTGATAGAGGGTTCAGAATTATCAGGAAGCTAATTCTTCAGTGAGATTAAATGATCGGAATTAATATTACAACTTTGTCTCGACTGAACCCTTCGGGTCGAACCCAAACAAACTGCCGATCCGAACAGACAAATCAATCCGAAGGATTTGATGAGTCACTAGAGTATTACAAACATGAACGTCGGATATCGAGCCTAGGGCGTTGAGACCGAGCGTCGCAAAATCTACAAGCAACAAGTTCGAGCGTAGCCGTAGCATCACAATGGCATAGCCATGTGGACGCTAGGCTAGCTCGAGCTAGCATGCACTTTGCATGGCTAGGCGCAAGCCTAGGCGCACCATGTGTGTGCTAGGCGCACCATGTGTGTGCTAGGCGCACCATGCGTGCTAGGCGCACAAGGCAGCACCATCGCTAGCACTAGGTGCTTGCGTGTGTGCGTGCCTCGCATGGCAACACCATCGCAACAGCGTGCTTGTGTGTGTGCGTGCCTTCGCATGGCACGGCACCACCGCAGCATGCTTGCTTGCGTGCCTAGGTGCTATCGCAAGCCCTCGCACAGCCTACGTATAATACAGCACTATCGCATGGCTAGGCCTATGCATGTGTGCATGTGTGTGCAGGCCATGGCAGCAGCAGCACGCTGTGCTTGCTTGCTTGCGTGCGTGCCTTCGCATGGCAGCACCAAGCAGCGAGCAGCATGCTAGCAGCCTCGCACAGCAGCACCATGCCAGGCATCGCCCAGCGCCCAGCAGCCAGCAGCATGCATGGCTCGCTAGCAGCACGCATGTGCTAGCTGTGCTGGATGGTGCGTGCTGGCTGGTGCATGCTGGCCATGCTAGCTGTGCACAGGCTGCAGTGCTAGCTGGGCAGCAAGGTGGGCTGCCAGCTCACTCCAGTTTGAGGAGAGTGGGGACCAAGGCTTAGAGCCATACCTTGGGGACCAAGGCATAGAGCCATACCTTGGGGACCAAGGCAATGGTCCCCCCATGGTCATGGTCCTCACCTAACCTCTCCTCTTCTCATGCCACTTGTTGATTTGTAATTGCATTGTCTTATAATTTATTTTGGAATTAAATAAATTAGTGAAAAATGCAACTATCCCACATTGATCATGAGATGGGGATATAAGTTGTCATTCTTTACAAATACCCCATGATTGGGCATTTGGGAAAACAACTTGAGTGGAACTCCAAAAGACATCTCTTATTATTGAGAAAACCTTTAAGTTCGTAAAACTCTAGTTTTATACTTGGTCAAGTCTCGACTAACCCTCGAGACGAAGATCGTTTGGGTCGGGGTCGTGGGTACGAGCCGTTGGAGGTCGTCACGCTTGTGAGGCTTAATAGCTTCGAAATAAGAGCTCGGTTTGCGAGCGAAGCACGCTTCAAGGGTATTACTTCTTTATCCCTTTTATTAATTATTGTTTAATTATGTTTATGCATGCTTTATTATTGTGGTGAGTTTTGGACGGGTTTCTCTTCCGCGTAGCGTTAAACGCTACGAAACCCAACAAGCCCCTCTATCTTCCCCTGGAGTGACCTAAGTTCGATCCTTACCCCACACCCCTCTTGTGATAGGAGGGGCACCCTTGTATCTTACAATGTATAAAAAAAAAATTAATAAAATAAAATAAAAATAAAAGTGCATAGAAAGACTAGATAAAAATTGGCAACTGGCGGTGCTGGAACCCAGATTTTTCAATTTTTCATAACCAACAAAGTACCCAGTTACCAAAAAAAATACAAATATAATTGATCATGTTGTGAAGATGTGCTTGTTAACAAAACAAGGAAGTTCAATTTTGATTTTTGTGTAACATTGATCATCTAGGATTGTAGGAAATATGTACTTGTTAACAAAATGTTTATTATCAATTGTTTGTTAATTATACAAGCACAATATAATCTTTATAACTAAGTTGTTTGATATGTAATTAAATACATTTTACTTTTATTATTACCTGTTGTGGCTAATAAAAAAATAAAAAAAATAAAGACTTGCGCAACTTTTGTAAGTTGAGTGCCCAATTTACTTTTACACGTAATATTGTCTACTCATCAAACTTCTGCTAGTAACTTGGTGTGAGGTTACACAATTTTTATGGCCAATATCAACACAAGTACTAAATACTAATGGCCAGAAAAACAATCAATTAAGCAATATATGATTTTAATAGCAAGCAATACTTATAGCATCTAAAAGCTCATAACTACATAACCAATAAATTTTCTACGGAGTATTAAAATTCAAGTATTTTTGACTGCTTTTTAGCATCTCATACTAAACATTTTCCATGTTCTTAGTTATCACAGCAAGTAACACCAGGCTAGATTCGTTTCACGTAAGACCTCCCTTGAGTTACTTCAACACATAAGTGTTTCAACATTTACTTTCAAGTAAGAGCTCTTTGGGTTCTTTTGTTCAGTAAATAAATGTTTCAGCTTATAACCAAACTGAAAGCAAGAACGGAAACCTACTGCTTTTTCTTCTTAGGTCTACGCTTTCTCCGCGGCTTGGGAGCATCAGAATTGGAACTCATGTTGCTACTCTGGCCTGTTTGTGAATTAGAGGATTCTCTGTTATAAGAATTAAAGTTCCGATGGTTTGATGTGTTCTTGGGTGTGATATTTCTCCGTGTTATAGATTTCTGAGGACGAGGAGGTGGCATTAAACATCGGGCCGACTTTTGTTTCTGCATCAACCAAGTACAGCAATTTAGTAAATAAAATAAAAATAAAAAAACAAAAATAAAATAATATAAATTCTCTCAAAGCATAAATCTCAAATGGATAAGTAGGTACCTGATTCCTCTCATCACTGGATAAGCCAGATGCAGCTTTACCAGAATGTCCAGAAGCACTAGAAGCTTGTTCCCTAACAACATCAGATAAGCTTTGCGATTAATATACTAGGCCAAGGATTTTGACAAATGGAGCCAAAATAGTATTAGTCTATTAATATGCTTTCATTAGCTTGAGAAATTTTAATGCCATGACAATCATTCTGCACCCTCAATACAATTGGAAATGATAACAGAAGCCTCAGGAGGGAGGGGAATAGATGGGGCACCTCGCACTTAAATCTGTTAACTCATCATCTGCATCTGCTTCATCACTTGAAGTCCCTGATACAAAGAAATCATCATCACTGAGATCTGCTAGCCCATCATCCTCACTTCCTGTCTCTGCAAACAAACAAAAAAGGGTATAAGTTTGAGTTAACACATTTTTCATACTTCACGCATTAGACAATGCGCTGACTGAGAACCCAAATTTTGAAGGAAAGAGACATCAAACAAGCATACTTGAAATTCAGCAAAACTGTAATTGGACAAGTATGTGTTGAAATCTTAAATATGCTAGTATTACAAAATGTGCTGAACTACACTCTTTTCCAATATAGGTGATTACTACAGCAGGATAAGAATCACTCTTACCAAATTCTGAAATTTGAAGTAACAAAGAGATACCAATTGTGAAAATTCTGAAAATTAACAAAATGAAATACTAATTGTAAAAGAAATAACAAATTCTTACCATGGCAATCACTCTAGAAAAAATATGATATTTTATTGTATTAAAGAGATACCAATAGACAATTATAGTTTCTAAGATATTTATTTGAAAACAAAGGACACGTTGTAAAGGCAACTAAGCTATGGAAATCAAAAATAAAATTAGCCTTTTCGAGTAAATTCTCATGGTGACACACTACGAAAAGAGTCAGTTCAAGCTATACAATTATTTTTCTCCAAACTTACAGAAAACTAAACTCACTTTTTGAACTCGTTAACATAGGAATCTTATTAAGAGCCACATAAAAAAGGGAATTGGATCTAAAAAAAGTTCAAATTCGCTCCCAACAATAATGTAAAAAAGGGGAGCAAATACTACCAAGGGGCCATTAGTTCAGGAATTTTGTAGTGCAAACAATCCTTACAAGCTTTATTGATTTTGAAATCATGCTTTAAAAAAAACTAAAATCCTATCTTCCATAAGCCTATACGTTAAAATAATCCATATTGTAATGGACGCGATACTTGCTCCACTAATTCAAGTCTACACTTGAAGGACGAAGAAACACATGCCCAAGGGCAAGGGAACAAGCAACAACAGCCACTGATGTTAATTAATGAGAACAGTACAGTTATGCATTGAAAGATCATATCCACCATAATAACTTTTAGTGTGAGAATTCTCATTGGTTCATAAAGTTCTCATCAACATTAGTCTACATTTCATTTTTACCATAGCTGACATGCAGGTAGTTCAAATTCACTTAAAATGTGATACTGAATAGGACATGCTATATAGAACTTTTTCTCCTTCATTTTCCAATAAGCACCATCCATGAAAGCCACTCATGTTAACCAACATAATATGACTTTGTGCTATAGTTAACAAACCAGCTGAGATAAACTTATAGCAAATGACTATGGCATAAATGACTTCCCATGTTCCAAAATTCAAATCTAGGAAAACAACTGAGAAGAATTAGCATTGACTTCTTCAGTTAATAGAAAAGGGGGATACCTTCCAAGTCCTTTCCACTGGCTGCAGCAGCAATTATGTTTGCTTTAATCTGCTTCCGCAATCTATTCCTCTTATCTACTATGTCTGAATTGTCATCTCCGGTAAATAAAGACACGTATTTTTCTGTCTTAGGAAAAAACTGCAACACAATGAAGTAGCTCAATTAGTGAGAAACAAAAAGAAAGCATAGACAACTACAAGACTGACATTTCTAGAGCTATTCAAAAATAGCTAAAATTTAATATGATACAACTAGAGAGCAAGACAATTTTGTCATATGCAGAATCTATGTCGATATCAAGGTGTGGGCTTTTTACCCAGCATGCAAGCAAAGCTAATAGGCTACTCATATTACTAAATTGCAATAGTGCAAAAGCTTAAAATAGCATCATATTAGATTAAATGAATAAGAGCAAGTGTTTTTGTTCCCATAACAATATATCTTTTCATTGTCAAACATAAATGATGTCTCTCATTCATTCCAATGAACCTTTATTTTCTACGAAAAAATACACTTTATTAATTTCAACTTTGCTCAATTTACTTTGAATAATCCCAACTATCGATTATTATGCAATAATTTCAACTTTCACCTCCGGTTTCTTCTAATAATCCCGAAAATCGGTTACCTGCTAGAAAGATATTTTTTTTAGTAATTAAGATGTCATGTGTCACACTTTGATTGGCCCAAAAAATCAAAAACAAGTAAAAAAAAAAAACCCACAGCCATCCCTATTTCCCAACTCCGGCCACCAGAAAATTATCCCCCCATCCCCTCCTCCCTAGCCCCACCAGGAACCAACCCTTCCCTCATCCACCACCATAACCGTCCCCAACAGCCACCCCCTCAGCCCCAACTTGCTGCCGCACAGCACAACCCCCACCAAAATCGCTGCAGCACATCCACAACACAACCCGCTGCCGCACAGCACAACCCCCACCGAAAACAACCCTTCCTCGCCAGCCCCACCACTGAAACCGGCCAAAACCCCAAATCGTTTCCCTTAAAACCATCCCACCCCCCAAAACCGCTGTCACACCACCTCTGTCGACCAAAATTGAATTATGCGCAGTTTTGAGGGGTGGTTTCGAGGGCAAGGGTTTGGGTTTTGGCTCGTTTCAAGGGCGAGGCTGGGGAAGGGGGGTCGTTTCCGGTTGGGTGGTCGGGGATGGGGGAGGTTTTGGCGGTGCGGCAAGGGGTAGGGGGTGGCAGTTGAGGGCTGGAGGAGGTGGCTGACTTATTTTTTTCTTTTTTTTTAAAAATTTTGTTTTTTTTTTGGTTTTTTTATTTTTTATTTTTTTGGACCACTTATATGCTTACACATGTCCAGTAACCTACAATAAAGGTTGTTGACTTGTGTTAACCGGTTTGGGATTCTTAAAAGAAAACAGAGGTGAAAGTTGGGATTATTGCAAAATAATCGATAGTTGGGATTAATAAAAGTAAATTGGGTAAAGTTGGGATTAATAAAGTGTATTTTTCCTATTTTCTAAATAAAAGACTATATTTACGTGTTAAAAAATGACTATTATAGTACAATAGACAAGATTAAGCAATACCAAGAGCACCTTTTACTCCACTCACAAAGAATTAATACCATACTTAGGTAAGGAGAAACAGGGTAATATTGTTTTTCCTGGAAATCAGAACCTAACAAGCAATGAGGTGCAAGACAGTTCAGCTGGAATCAAAATTATAGTATATAAAAAAAAGGGTTCAAAAGAGCATTTTCCTGAGTACAAATTAAAAAAAATATATATATAGATAAAGGCATGACTCACAACTCACAAGGATAAAAGGTCATTCAAGACAAATCCGTGATTGTTCTTTCTTCAGTAGATAGACTAAGGTCACTTGGGAACTTCAGACTTTAGGTAACAAATCTTCACTAAAGTTTTATTGGTGTTTGTGTACAATTGTTCAGGACATGGTAGTGGCTATTTGTGCTACCTAGCCTTCCGAGGTAGTAATTGACCTTAATAAATTCTAAATACAACCCAAATCACAACATAGTATGAACACCAGAGAATACAAAGTAAACATGGGATGGATTAGCAAAGCCTGAATTACAAACTCTACCAACCCCTGTGATACTAACTTCAGTTACGTAATCAAAAAAAACAATTCTCTGTCAAAAGTTATGGCCAACCTAATGAGTTGAAATGTAAACTTCCATAAATTAGCCCAAAAATGCAGTCATCCTACACTTATTACAGCTGATTCTGACAGTAACACGTACTTCATACACTGCTTACCCGAACATATTCCAGATCTTCTTTCAACTGAGCTATCTCTTTCTCTTGTATTTGACCAGAAGATGAGCGTAGATTCTTCTCCAAACGCCTCAATCTTCTCTCTATCTTTCTCCTCTCTAAAAACCAAAATTTAACAGCCATAAATGACTAAACTTTTGCAAACAATGGAGACAAAAATAAATAAATACAAAAAGAAATACCGAAGAATTTGATCTTCCTATCTCGAAGGAAAACTTTACGCTCTACAGCCAACCGAGTGTGAAGGTCCTGCTGCTTCTTCAGCCCTTCTAGCTTCTTCTCTTGAGCAGCCTTCATTTCGGGTGGAAGATCCTTTACAATAAGACAAACAAAATAAATAAGATGAAATATACATAAATAAAAACAACACTCCTCAATACATCCACAATACTACAATGACTGCTAAATGTACATACTTGCAATACCTATAATTTTAAAAATTATGTCCAGCTATCTTGCTGACTTGGATTCTATTTTAGATGATGTTTTTTCTCTTAGCTATGCCTTTGATTTTATCTCTTAAGAGGGATGGGAATTGTGTTGCCCATCACCTCTCGCTAGTGTAGTGCCTTTGGGTGTAGAACAAGTTTGGGAGGACTTTTGTCCTTCTATAATCTTGTCATATGTTTATGTCACTATTACTTGGTTTTATCATCTCGTCATATGTTCTCATGGACAAAATATCCATTAAAACATGGCACTAATACTTGGTTATAAAAAATATAAATTATGTCCTAGTATCTCCATGAAACTAACTGGACTTCCGAATAATTCTTACTTAAGTCATTAGATCAATATGCATAAGTTTTCTTCACTCACCAAATGAAGCAAAACTTGACTGACGAATAGTAAATGAACTAAGTAGTAAGCTCAATTTCTATCGTCAAACAAAACTAGACTGCTGAACAATTATCAATCAGACAGCATTAGGTTTCATTCCCAACAAATTATAGAACTAAATTGACTGCCAAATATTTTGAATTAGGACAAAATGCATAAATCAAAATGTAATATAATAGCAAAATATACATTTCAAACAACAAAATATCAAAAATCACTCAAATTTTAGCCCAAAAAAAAAAATAAAATAAAATCACATTACAGAAGAAAGAGAGTGAAGAAAAGTATACCTTGCGGAGCATACGCTCAATGGAACGAATTTGATTTTTAAGAGAAGCAGCCTTAGGTTTCTTGGCAACAACTCCAACAGCCTTGGAACGATGACTGCTGCTGGGTTTCCGTTCGGCAACTCGGCGTTTGCCATAGCCGCCGTGCGACATTTTGGGGTGAAAGTGAGATTAGGGTTCAGAGCAGAGGCTTTCGGAGAAAAAGTATGGTTAGTTAACACACCGCTAGACCAAATTCATCAACGAATAGTGTCGTATACGAATTGGAAATATGGCGAGTTTTTTTTATATATTTTTGTTTTTTTGTTTTGGTCTATGCTCATATAGAATACTCCCTCGTTTTTTAAATACTTAAACCCTATACACTTAATGATAAAATAATCGGTTATTTCATAAAATGCTACTGAACAATTACAAAATTCACCAAATGTCATGAACCTTTTCAAAATTCACCAAATGCCACCGAGCTTTAAAAAAATTCACCGAGTGCCATTAATGACTGACAGCCGTTAGTTGACCCCATCACTTGCCACGTGTCATCTTCTTATTGGTCCGCTTTTTAATAAAAAACAAAAAATTATAAAAAAAAAGGAACTCAGAGGTGGCTAGCCACCACCTCCTCCCTGCCGTCGAGCCCCCCGCCCACCCCAAAACCCTAGCCACCACCACCCCCTGCCGCCGGGGCTAGCACCGGAAGGCGCGCCGGCCGCCGGCGACCATCTCCTTCCCCTCTCCTATCTCGTCGCGACCCCTTAACCGGCGAAACCCCACCCCCTTCCTCCACCACCCCTTCCAATTGCTCCATTGAAGCTCACGCATGAAAGCTTGAGGAACATCATTTTTTCACCAAATTTTATTAAACTTTTATCAAAATGTTCACAATTCAACATACAATCAATTAGAGCAAACAATTTTGTGAATTGCTTCACCAAACAAAAAACCCCAATTCAATTTGGTGGGGTTTCTGGGTGGTGGAGGAAGGGGGGTGGGGTTTCGCGGGTTAGGGGATCGCGACGAGAAAGGGGAGGGGTCGCCAGCGGCCGGCGCGCCTTCCGGTGCTAGCCGCAGCAGCAGGGAGTGGTGGTGGCTAGGGTTTTGGGGTGGGCAAGGGGCTCGACGGCGGGGAGGAGGTGGTGGCTAGCCACCTCTGAGTTCCTTTTTTATTTTTTAATTTTTTTGTTGGTTTTTTTTTAACTTTTTTTTATTTTTTGTTATTTTTTTATTTTAAAAAACAAACCAATCAGAAGGTGACACGTGGCAAGTGGTGGGGTCAACTAACGGCTGTCATGGCACTCGGTGAATTTTTTTAAAACTCGGTGGCATTTGGTGAATTTTGAAAAGGTTCATGACATTTGGTGAATTTTGAAATTACTCAGTGGCATTTCATGAAATAACCGTAAAATAATAGACCTTTGATGAGCAATTCTTCTTAAAGATCTTTCATAATGAACGATCTTTCACCCTCGCTCTCGAGTCATCTTTGGTTTAGTATTAATAAGTTCAAAAAGGATCCTTCACAATCTCGTTCCCAAGCCATCTCTAGTTGTAATAGACTTTTGATAGGCAATCCTTCTTAAAGACTAGAGGGAAAGCTCATGCTTCATCTTAAAAACCCTTTGGCTTCAGGAAGGTACGAACAAGGTTAGGAAAGGACGATAGCTTGTCTCCTCTCTTTTTCATGTCTCCCAAACAATTAGGAATTACAATCCAATCATAAGCCTCGGGCTTTAATTGGCTTAGGCATCGAGGGGGAAACCCTCTTCATACCATTTTTGGGGAGACACATCAAAGATGGCTAGTGGTAATGCATCACCAAACGGAGAGATTGATCCCATAATTCAAGACGAGACCCATTTTTGAGATGAAGACTGTGTGATATGGGAAAAGGGTGATTGTCCACTTAAAGGACAAGATTAGCCTCCCTAGGGGCAGTCCGACCCCATCGGCGGTCTGAAATGATGATGACCCGATCCCAATATTAGTGGGTTAGTTTGAGAAATTCTTGGATAAATTTAAGGTTGAAGTCATGAGGCATGAGGCTGAAGTTTAAGGGGATCGATTAGAGAAAGAAATCGTAAAACAAACACACAAGGTGGTAGTGACTGACCAGCCAAAGGAGATCACTTAGTCTCTCAAAATGAGTTCTTGAAAAAAGAGGACGCCCAAGGCAATTGGTAAATAATCCAAGATCAACTAATCTAGGTTTTTGGAGAAATCTAAGACAACAAGTATGCCCATTATGCTTATGCAGCTCATGCGACATCTCCGACATACAGTTGATTAAGTCAAGTGTTTGCTGATGCGTAAGACAAGCTAGCTTAAGCAAAAGAGAACATCACAGATGTAAGAATTTTCTAACACGACTTCTACGCCAACCATACCTGTAATACCCTAGAAATTTCCTTCTTTTAAAATACTCTTTTTACTCTAAATAAAACTCATTTTGGGAAATAACCAAGATATTACCGCCATTGTGATAACGGCTAAGGCTATTTCAAAGTCACATAACGAAAGTCTAAATTAAAAACCAACTTTTAAAAATAAATAACTTAAGTTCACAACCTCAAAACGTAAGTAAATTAAAACATTTACAAGTTAGAACCAATATAAGCACGGCCCTTTAAAACAAGTTTAAAATAAATCATAACAGCGTTAGTCCATAAATCAACAATTCAAATATAAACTAAGAAAGTATAACAGATAACTCTCTGCACTCATTCCCTTCATGCTCTTCATGTTTCAAGTATCTGTGTCTTCCTCTTTATTTCAACCCCTCTACTCACCATATAATTAAATGGGTCATAGTAGGGTCAATCCAAAGGAAAGCTAAACACAAACACAAAAGTACGAATCAGCAAAGGTTGAGTAAATATGCACCTACAAAACTAGCACACTAACATGATCATCCTAGCAATAATTAAAACATGCACGACATACAATTCACAAGTCAACTTACCTTTGACTCATAACTATCAATATTAATTATTAATAAGTAGTTTGGGATTACGCATCGAACAGGTTTCCTTCCTTAAATAGCCCATTTAAAATATTGAGCGTCCAATTAGGGAGCTACCCCAATTGGCACCTACTATGTCACACTTGTGATGGAATTCCAGCGCATTAATAATAAAAGAAAGTACAGCGTCCTGTACCCCTGTAGAAGCTATGATCAAATATAAAGTCACATAACTCCCCGTATATGTTCATACTCAAGGTATACACGTTCTAAGAGTTTTGGTGCATATCCTCTTACACTTTACGTGATTTACCAATTCAACATGTGATGACTCCAACCAATTAATCAAGAATAAACATAACAATCATCAACACATACTTCCATTTCATTTTTGAATTAATTAGTGAGCACATACTATTTATTTTAAATAAGGTTCATTGCCTAGTTTTGTGCACAAAATTGCACTATTACTACCTTGGTGCGTATGATGCACTACTAAACCTCCTTGACTCAAACTCAACTTATATGAGTGTGTAAATAAATAAACTAACTTCTTGACACAACTCCAATAATATATGAGTGAGAAATAAAATCATGAATCATGCTCAATAAATATAACCTTAGCTCTTTTAAACATACATAAGCCTTGCTTATTAAATTCATGATTCATACATATTCAACTTGTATCATGCCTCAAATAACATCTTCACATGCTTGCATAATTATTCATGATCAATCAACATCAAACCAAGCATTTAATCAACCAAACATGCTACTTGATTAGGGGATTTTACCCTGCCACGTGGACCAATCAGAGTCCGCCACGTGGACCAACAAGAGTCTGACACGTGTCACCTTAGCCCAAAGTGGACCTACCTCGTCACGACACATGGCAGACAGATATCCAACTAGGAAAGGCAGCCTTCAAAGGCCCAAACTCCTAGGCAGCCCAATCAGTCATAGGTTTCCGTAACCTAGGACTGGGCACGCATTTCGAGACCCTATAAAAGGGAGATGTTTCCACCACGGAGACAAATTCAAGACATTCAATTCACACGAATTACGAGAGTAAATACTCAGATATTAAGGCCGTCTATGACAGCCGGATGATCATTTCTCACCATAGAGAAACCTGATCCCACTTTAGATTCCGCATTTTTTATCTTCCGAACATGTTCCAACTTGATCGTCGGAGGCAAAACTCCACCCAACTGGAGTCTCCGTTGTTTTGTAGTTACAGGCGTCCGAAGTCTAGTCTTGGTGTTGTAACTCTCCCGAGGGACACAGAAAAGAAAGTTGAAAGAACCGGCGGCCTCTGGGCAGATGAGTTGTCGCATGTCTTATGGGCCATCAGAACAACTGAAAAAGGGGCGACTTTTAAAACTCCATTTCTCATGGTTTATGGTGCTGAAGCTGTCTTATCAATTGAGCACTATGAGCCGACTCTTTGAGTCATGCTTTATGATGAAGAGGCTAACTGGGAGGCCATGCGGCTAGCATTAGACTCACTCCTGAAATGCAGGGGCAATGCTGCCTTGCGTCATGAAATTTACCGTCTGAGAATGACGAGAGCCTACAACAGAAGAGTATGCAAACGGCCCTTGAAAGTAGGGGACTTTGTGTTACGGAAAATGGAGGCAACCGGTAGGGCCAATTAGCAGGGAAAGCTGACTCCCAATTGGGAAGGCCCCTACCGGATCTATGAAGAAGTAAGAGGCGGCACCTACCACCTGGAAACACCAGACGGCAGGCAGGTAGCCAAAACTTGGAACGTAGACAACTTGAAAAAGTACTACTTCCGAGCTTTGAAATTTTTTTGTAAATAAAGGCACATCAATAAAGAGTTGCTATTTGTTTTCAATACTTTTTATGCATCCTCCCAACGGGAATGCCGTTTGCGCAATGTGTAGATGGCCTTATTTAACCCTATCATCTACTCCAACATGAGTAGATATAAGCTAAGTTCAATACTTAGCAATTATTAATGAGGCCAATGACCGGATGATCTTTATGAGGCCTATGGCCGGATGATCTTTATGAGGCTAATGGCCGGATGATCTTTACGAGGCCAATGATTGGATGATCTTTATGAGGCTAATGGCCGGATGATCTTTAAAAAATACGTCTGCCCCAATATGAGAAGACGCCCGGCAGGGTGAAATCGTCGTAGAGAGCATCTCCCATTTGGGTGGCACATTACTCTATAAACTTAAAATATACGGCCCTACCGAGTGTCTAGAATAAGATGAGTTCACAGCTGTTTGAATTGATCAAATGAGACTAAGTTAACGAAACTACCGACAGTTTTAATACAAGCAGTACCCAGTTACTATCTTGGTCAGATACCGCCTGCTATTGCTTAGGGGCAATACAGACGGCTAAATTAGAGGATATAAGCTAAGTCCAATACTTAGCAGCTAATTGAAAAATAAGCTAAGTCCAAAACTTAGCAGCTAAACTTTAAAAGCAACTAGATGCGGCCAAAGGCCGTCTACT